GACTTCATAGTGCGCATTTCTAATGCTATATGGAAGATTTTATAACGCTAAGTGTTATTTGCATATTTTTGCTATGTTGACAAATAAGTAGACACTTACTAGTTAAATCAGCAGCGTCAATAGCACAGGTCATTATAAAATCATCCATATATCCTAGTTATTTGAAATTTTGAGAACAGTAAAAAATCTGTGCTAGAATATATTTTGATTCAACTTTGGTATTGTATGAACATATCAATAATATTTATGGTCCAAATATTTTCATACCTGATGGTCTTCTGCAGCACCTGCAAGAAAAAATTATTAGAATTAGTGATGAATACAAATTCTTCTCAAAAAGAAAAAAATTCCATTTCCATAACATTGATAATCAGAATGTAAAAGTTTTATGGAAAATATGATTATATATATATATAAAAAAAGTAGGAAAATAATGGGCAAAATCCGCAAAAAGGAGGAAAGTTTATTCAAGCAGAAAATAGGGTAGGTAACCCGAGCGATACGTATTTCTGCTGGTTGGCTTCAACAGGCCCGAAATGAATGTACATATGCAACTACAAAAGTAGATACACATTTCCACACATCCGGATACGGGTGTAACCTGAGGAAACGAAGATGGAGGGGGAAAAAGTCGACACACGAAGTCCACAACAAGAGCCAACCTACACATTGTAGTATAAAATGGCTAGAAGACCTAGAATTTTCAAGGAGACATTTAAACACAACCACGCGGCCGGTTATAGTCACTTGCTGTGGTATTTCAAGCCTAAAGGATCTACAAAGAGAAAATGATCATGCGTAGAAAGGTATATAACAAAAAGTACGAAAATAATGGGCAAAATCCACAAAAAGGATGAAAGTGGATTCGAGCAGAAAATAAGATAGGTAACCCGAAACATTTCTGATTTAGGAGTAAAATTAGAAATTATATGGAATTCTTTTAAGGCGGAAGACTGGGTAAACCTTGCCAAAACTATTCAAGCCAGAATTAATGCTGTTACTAAGCCAAGGGAGACGTAACGAGATATTGAAATGGTTCGTCCGAACATTTATATGTCAGCCAAATAATATAATAATAATAATAATAATAATAATAATAATAATAATAATAATAATAATAATAATAATAATAATAATAATAATAATAATAATAATAATAATAATAATAATAATGATGATGATGTGCCTTTATTCAACTTTGCATACACAAAATAAAACGAAAGAATAATATCTTGAAAACCGCAGAAGTGCAAAATGGAAAAGGAGGAGTGTTACGCTAGTGGTATGTTTCAAATAACCCTAAAAAAACAAAAAAATTGTATCTATATCATGATCATATTTAAGGGAAAACCCAATAATAAAGATAAATATAGGTAACAATGATAGTCATAATGACTATTCCGTAAGAGGAACCTAGTGCCTAAGAGAAAGGAACTAACAATAAATAAAAAGTTTCAGCTCATCCATTGATAGGAAATGCAATTTTCTCAATCTATCTAAACTTAGAATGTTGTGTTGTTTGAATATATTCATATTTATGATAAAACTTTATTATATCAAAAGAAAATCGCAGTCACACAAATTTTGTACTCGCTGTTATTTTAAACAATCAATTTTTAAAAGAGCTGGGCCATATATGCTGTCACAGTAAGATAGGCGAGAGATTATAAGGGCATCACATAACTTTATTTTCAAGCTACTATTAAAAACACTACTCTGTGGATATAATTGTTTCAACATACTATAGGCTGAAGAGGACATTTTGTTGACATCATACGTTTTTGTTAAGAACCAAACAGCATTGCCTTTGATTTATTGGCATTCAGGCTTAGATTATGTGCAATTGATATACAGGGTGGCGCATCAAAAACGAAACAGACGCATTTACTGGCAGCTCAGTTTTTTTTTGAAAAACGCCCAGACCCGTCGATTTTGTTTTCGAGGGGGACACAAGTTTGGCAAAAAATCACGTTAACACGTGCAGCCCCCTGGGCGGGGGTGACACCAACCCTAAAATCTTAAAAAGTGATACCGTATTTTAAAGGTCTTTCAATTCTCTTTATAATGATGTAAAATACATGAGCTTCAGTTCAGTAGTTTTGAAGATTTATTGATTTAAAGCTTAAAGTAGACTTTAATAGGTACATCAGATTACTTGTACTACAGAAGAAATTTGATTAAAAGAATTTACTTAATAAGTAAATGCTTTTCTTCACTACGCCCGTAGTTTGTTTCATTTTGTTGTTGAAAATAGCTATTGGAGCGTCCCACCACATTACGCATGACGTGCTCGACAATATTTAGATCAGACTTTTCCAGATCGATGGATTGGTAGAAGAGGTGCCATTGAATGGCCCCCAAGATTGCCAGATTTATCACCTTTGGATTTCTTTATGTGGGGTCATTTAAAAAGCAAAATCTATGCTACTCAGCCAACATCATTAGAAGACCTGCGACAAAGAATTGTGAATGAGTGCCTTCAAATTACTCCTCAAATGTTGCAAAATGTGCGGCAACGTTTTGAGCAAAATCTTTATTATTGCATGGAGACTCATGGTGGCCATTTTCAACATTTACTTACCTAACGGGTCAGTTCATTCTTCATTTTTGAATTACTTTGCTGCCAAATGTATTGATCTCCACTAATGATGATGTATTAGTTTTATTTAAGCTTTAAATCAATAAATCTTCAAAACTACTGAACTGAAGTACATTAATTTTATATCATTATAAAGGGAATTGAAAGAAATAAGGTATCACTCGACCCTCCTTTCCATTTAAGATTTTAGGGTTGGTGTCACCCCCGCCCAGGGGGCTGTACGTGCTAACGTGATTTTTTGCGCCAAACTTGTGTCCCCCTCGAAAAAACTGAGCTGCTAGTAAATGTGTCTGTTTCGTTTTCGATGCGCCACCCTGTATACCGTATAACATATGAATAATAAAATTGAAGTACAATTCTGTATCGGCCGCATAGTGATGTATTTTACAAGTTTTTACGTAGTTATGAAAGTCTGAGATTTATAAAGAAAATAGTAAATGGCCTAATATGGACCCTAGTGGTACACCCATTGTAAACATTCTTTTGTCAGACGATGGAGAGTTTACTGATACGTATTGGTACCTACTAGTTAAGTAGTCCCTTATTAAATATGCAACATAGTCTTCAGATCCACAGTACTTCAGCTTCGTGCACAATATATGATGATCTAGGTTGTAGGGTGTCAAAGGCTTTACTGAAGTCCAAAAGAATTAAACACAAAACATTACCCTTGCCAAATGATTTGTAGAAGTCATCAACTATACATGCCAGTGTGTTGTTATCAATATTAGTTTAGTTTTATAATTTAATATTACTTGATTACAATTTTGTTAATATGATGTCCAAACTATATATTTCCATGTCTTATAAACAAAATAATTTGTAACCTTTAAAAAAAATGTATTTTAAAATAAAATTAGTTAATTCCGAACTATTTTGTGTTAGGGTTCGTATTCGTTGTATCTAATTATAGTACTTCCTCGCCTGAATATTTAGAAAATGATGCTGGGTTCAGCAGTACTCCGATACATGGTGAAAATGCGTTTCACAAATCTAACCCAGTTGTTCTCGAAATACCATATGTGTGATGTAGTGCAAACAAAGCTTACATATTTTGCTATATCGCATGTCTACTATTATGTGCAATATCATTCAAATGGCTATACAACAAAGGATAATCAAACAGTGGCATAAAGCTCCGTTCAGTGTCCAATAAAAAGCGCCGATCTCCCGACTCCGGTTACGAAAAACACAAATGAAAAATAAATCCCGGCTTTATGTATCCGATAAAATGTCAAAAAGCTGAATTAATTTTAAAATTTGTTTCCTCTAGTTGGCAATAAGCAATAATTCGTCGCTGCAGTTTTATTTGAGCGCGAGCGGTCGCATTCACAAGCTTAATTTAGGACGTTATTGTAACTGATAGAAATACCTCGGGTAGGGTTCCCGCCTGAAGCAGGGTGTTCGAGAATGTCTTTTATATAAGAATTACTGTCGCTCTTTTAGTTTCTACACAACATACAAGGCAATATTGCGAATTCTTTTTACTTGAAGATCGCATACTAGAACCATATCTTATAAACATTTACGGTGTAAATATTTCTGTTAGCTAGACAATTTTATCCAAAACCACTGATTAAAAAAAACGTCGAGACACGTCAAAATGTGTTAAGGGAGGACAACTTTACCAAACAAAGGTGTCTGGTCATCTTTTTTCAGCGTCGTGCGTGTACATACAGAGTGTTCATTTGAAAAATTCCCACTACGGATTTAAAGAAAATCACTGATTCACGGAAAAAACGCCAAGCCGCGTCATAAGATTTGTCAAGGGGGACAACTTTTTAACTAAAAACTACACCCTCAGCCCCACACGGACATTCCCTTAAAGGATTTCAGATGACCAGGGGTAGCGAGTAATAGCTTTGAAAGGTCTTTCGAACTCCTTTATTTTGTCGTTTAATTTTTTAAAATCAGTCGATTCGTTTTCGAGAAAATTAGAAATATCTTTATTTATCTTAATTTGTTCAGATAGAGAACAAAAACACACGAAAATATCATTTTTTATTTCCATAAGTGATCAAAATGTTGCCCGTTAGGTTTTTCAAATCTATAATTCTTTCACAATTTAAAACGGAAACTACCAACAGATGTACCGATACATCCAAAACTTTAATAGATCTCATATTGACGAACGTCCATGACATTGTAGAAAATGATAGAAACCTGCCAAATTTCACTGATCATAAAATACTGAGTATAGATATTCCTACGTCCGTTCAAGATACAATTACGGTTATAAAAAACGAAACCTATGTTGTGACAATATCGATAAAATCAAGATGATGCTCTTTGAATGTAACGGGAAGTATGGATCTCGAGATGTCGATTCCTTACATAATTATTTTATTGACAATGTGAATAAAAGTATTAACGAAATTGCACCTTTAGAACAACATAGCACTAATTATAAGTCATGGATTAATGGAGAGGTCAAAAGAGCACAAAGCGAAAGAGATGTACAATACCATATTTTCAAATTTACCAACCTGAGGGATGACTTCGAAAAATATAAAGAAAAACGTTACAAAGTTGTTGTTCTTATAAGATCAAAACAAAAGCAGAATTATGGAGGAAAGATTGACAGATGCAAAGGAGACGGCAAACAAATAATGAGAACCTTGAAAGATCTCGTTAATAACAAACATGTACACATTGATTATATGTCTTTAAAAATTAATGGCTGTGACACTGTAGATAATAAATTGAAAAATTATTTTATCAAGAGTGTAACTGATATAGTAAGCACCATACCTTCAAGTAATGAGGAAGCTATAGCGGCAGCAGTGCCTTTAGAAGAGGAATTTTGGAGGTTTAAAGAAATTTCATTGAATAAGCTACGCAAAACTTTTCTTCAATTGAAGAAAAAATCTACGAGTGATGAAGCACTTTCATGCAGTTTGGTGAAGCAATTGTTTGATGTAATTGGCTACCCACTTTTGAATATTGTTAATACATTGCTTAGCACAGGAAAGACGCCTTCGTTGTTGAAGAGGAGTATTATAGTCCCAGTACCCAAAACAAACAATCCAAGTAAGCCAGAAAGAATACTTACGACCCATCAATCTTATTCCAGTAGTCGAGAAAATTATAGAAATAACAGTGCATGAACAGCTGAGTGAGCATCTACGTGTGAACGATGTTCTTTTAGAGAGGCAATCCGGGTTCAGAAGAAATCATTCTTGTGAAACTGCATGCCAATTTGTATGTACAAAGTGGAAGAAAGATGCAGATGATGGTAAAGTGATTGTGTGTGTGTGTGTCTGTTGGCCTAAAAAGAGCATTTGAAACTATTGGCAGAAAATTGTTGTTGAGAAAATGTGAAATGTATGGAATTAAGGGTACATCCCTCTTGTGGGTGGGTGATTATTTATCTGAGCAGTTACAAGTGGTATAAATTGAAAGTAAAATATCAAGTAATGTTTCTGTTGATCATGGAGTACCTCAAGGCAGCGTACTAGGCCCATTGCTGTTTATTCTGTATGTCAATGATATGTCGAATGTCCTAAGCAATTATTTTATAAATTTGTTTGCGGATGATACATTAATTTCAATTAGTGATTCAGTAAGTAACGAAATTCTAGATGTAATGAATAGTGAAATGAGCAAACTTAGTTTATGGTTAAAAACAAACAAGATTAAATTAAATGTGAGAAAAACGAAATGTATGATTATAGGTTCGAAGAATAATTACAACAAATTGGTGGATTTAAATATGCCAGTGAAACTTGAGGGAGAGGTACTTGTTTTTGTAGATAGTGTTAAGTATTCAGGTATTATAATAGATCAGCAACTAACTTTCAACAAACATGTTAACTATATGTGTCGAAAATTAGGCAATAAGATTGGGTATTTTCGTAGAATATGTAAGAATCTAAGTCCCTGGTGCAGAAGGGTAATCTACAATATAATAATTTTTCCTCATTTTACTTATTGTGCATCGCTTTTGAGCACAAATGAACATAAGCAAAGGTTCCAAATTCTATTAATTAAATGTTTGCGGATTTTGCTAACTTGTAGCAGGTATACCCATATACAGGATATGATAAAGGCAATAAGTTTTTTAAACATACACCAAATTATTCAAGACGCAAATTTAATTCTTTTATATAAAATTAACAATAGTCAGGCTCCACATTATCTTGAACAGTTTAAAAAAAAAAGAAATGCAAGCTTACGACATTAGATCAAAAGAAAATTTCCATATACAACAATTTAGATTAAAAGGTTTAGAAAGGTCAATGTTTGTTGAAGGTCTGAAAATGTACAACAATCTGCCTATTAATGTAAAAACATCTAGTAATGCTAAAATTTTCAAAAAGAGACTTCGGAGAGAGTAAATTTAACATATTTTTTTAAATAATATTTATTATTGTTTGAAGTAGCTTAAAGCTAAATAAATCCCTTCTATTCTATTCTATTTAAACATAAACAGAAATTCGGAATATTGGACGTGGCAACAACCAAATAACGACCAGCATTTTTTTCCGCATTCTTTTCATCAACACAGATATCCTGGGCGAACTGTATTTATTGTTATACCTTTTTAGTTATTTTTTGCTAAGAGAAAGAAAGAATTTAATTTGCTGTCAGTCACCTTTGTGACAATCTTGGGATAGTGAAAATTAATTTATTGATTCAGATTTCATTTCCAAAATGGTTTACACACTAACAGAAAGAGAGGAAATAATTCTGATTTATGGTGGTATTAAATTTACATAAATTGGATCTGTTGCAAATAAAAAACGTGATCATCGGAGAGTTTTGGATGAAGCCGCTCAAGTTGAAGTTTTGGGTCATTTTGGAATAAATCCTAATTTTTCATTGCTGCGACTGATATTTCATTAGGCTCTGTACGCACAGTTACTACGCTCCACAGATTTCATCCATGGAATAGCCTGCTAGATCTCTTGATTTGACGGTATTAGACTTTTTCCTATGGTGCCATTTGAAATCTGTATTGTGTACTACCCAACCTGAAGGTATGGATGAACTCCGTTAACGCATCATCAAAAACTTCCATGATACCCCACAACATGTTTTTAAAAATGTCCGTCAGTAATTTGAACATCGCCTATATCATTGTTTGGTCAATAGCGGGCAACATTTTGAAAGCAAATTGAAATAAAGTGATATTTTCGTATGTTTTTGTTTTCTGTCTGAACAAATTAAGGTAAATAATGATTTTTCGAATTTTCTTGAAAATAAGCGACCGATTTTAAAAAATCGAACGTCACAGAACTTCAAAAGACCTCACAAACAAGCTATTACTCGATACCCCTTGTCATTTAAAATTTTTAAGGAGCGGATCCTGGGGATATAGGATTAAAGTAGTTTTTGGTTAAAAAGTTGTCCCCCTTGACAAATCTTTTTAATCAGTGGTTTTTGATAAATCCGTCGTGGGAAGTTATGTTATGTTGGAAGTGATTTTGATGGATTTCAGTCAAATTGCACTTAGGTTTCTTTAATCTGTATAAGTTTCATCATTTACCCTCTCAAGGTTGCACATTCCATATACTTAGGATTGCCACAAAATACGTTTGTTCTTAATATACTACGTGACATATAAATCCGAAAACCCAGTTTAAATGGTTATATTTTAATAAAAGTTGGTGAATGTATTTATCTTACTGTAAATAACAAGTGAAAAAATTTTCAGCCTTATCAGTTGGACATTCCGGTTTTTATACTGCTTTGTTTTAATTCACTAACGCTCTAAAAATGAATATTTCAGCCGCAGTAAAGAATCAACGTTGGCGGATTTTGGTTCTTGACATCCTTTACGATCGGTTACGATGCCTAGAGTACGGAGACCTGTACGATTTCGTCAACTTAGTGAGTTTGATAGGGGCCGTATAGTGGGACTTCGGGAAGCTGGACTTTCTTTTCGGGCAATTGCAGTTAGAGTGCAAAGAAGTGTAGACACTGTGGTTAGGTGTTGTCAGGCATGGCTTCGAGAAGGCCGTACGCAAAGAGCAAGGGGCACTGGACGCCGCCGTAGAACAACAGACCGTGAAGATCGCCGCCTAAGATTATTGGCCTTAAGGGACCGTTTCTCCACTACCAGGTCCATTGCAAATGAATGGTTTGCAGAACACGGAAGACCTATTGGCATGCGAAGTGTTTACCGACGAATGAGAACTTTTGGCTTGTTTTCATACCGGCCACACTGGGTCCTCCCTTTAACTCGAGAACACCGACGTAATCGCCTTGAGTGGTGCAGACAACGGTCACTCTGGGATCAGGAATGGAACAGTATTGTCTTTAGTGACGAGTCTCGATTTTGTTTAGGCATGCACGATGGTCGTGCCAGGGTTAGAAGGCGACGTGGTGAAAGGAGGAATCCACAGTTTTTTGTTGAAAGACATGTTCATCACACTGTTGGAGTTATGGTTTGGGGAGCTATAGCTTATGGTTCCAGGTCACCTTTAATCTTCATCAGAGGTAACATGAACGCGCAGCGTTATATCCACGAAGTTCTAGAACCCCATCTTTTACCCTATCTTGACACCCTAGCAGATCCAACTTTCCAACAAGATAATGCCCGACCACATGTTGCAAGAGTCACAATAGACTTCTTTCAACATAATGATGTCACATTGTTACCATGGTCACCAAGATCTCCCGACTTATCCCCAATTGAGCACGTGTGGGATATGATGGGTAGGAGATTGCTCAATTTGCAACGTCCTCTTCAGACTCTAGAAGCACTTCGAGAGGAGTTGGTGGTTGCCTGGAATGAGATACCACAGGAAGACATTGACCACCCGATCAGAAGCATGCCTAGGCGCGTTGGAGAATGCGTAGCACATCAGGGTGCATCCACACGTTATTAAAGGTCAAAGGGCTTTAAAGCAGTGCAATCATTTTGAAATTTTTATCATTTACTTATTATGCTTCATTAAGTACTTATACAAAATTTTATTAAAATAAAACCATTAAAAACGCTGTGTTCGGATTTATATGTCACTTAGTATATTTTTTAATTTGTTTCTGGAATGAAAAATATTTACTGACTTGCTGTATTTCAACTTTATTGTATTATTTGATGCAGTTACCGTAGGATGGAGATGTGTTCGACTTGCTATAGTGATTAATTTTATTACAGGCGTCACTATTTATCAAACTTACTGTTAACTAAAAATTACACAACAGAAAATATGAATTAATAGCCCAAACTCAAATCCTATGTGGTGATTTCCATACAGAAAAAGATGTATCGAACATGCTTCCGAATATACGGGATAAAGTGGTAATTCCAAATTTGGCGTCTAATAAAAGGTATCCAACGAAATTCTTTATATCTCTAGATGGAAAACCTTTTCATTTACTCATGAGAATATAAGTCCGTTGTAAAATCCGCCGCTACATTCCAACTATCAAGAATATTTTATAATTTTCAACTGCCCGTGCTATTT